ATTTAAAAAAAAAAACTCACTGACTCCTAAATTTTACTATAATGTAGTTTAAAACAATTAGTCCATTTGATAAATTTCGATAATGCAATAAGAAAATGAAGTTTATCAGAACTATTTGATAGATTTGCGCAATACATTTCGAACAATCTGATCACACACACATATACTTGTTAAGAACATTTATATATGAAAAATTAAAAGGTCAACTAGACAGGTTAAGGATAAGTCATAACAAAGGAAAAATAATAAAGTACACAAAAACAAATGTGATAACCATTCTGGATAATAAATCAGTATTACCAAAGTAGATTAAGTGTAAGGACAAATTGTTTTTGAACACATAAAGGGGGTTTCAATTTCCGTATAGCCAAGGCTTCAATAAACTTTAGTATATATCCTTGAAAGTTTTTGTATAACACTACAAATGCTGATTTAATGTCTCAATCAAATGTTTTGCAATGTAGTTGTTTTTAAATACAATGTCATTATGATGGAGTGAAGTGTTCAAACACTTCACTTCTACCTGAAGTTTATGCTGATGATGTCGTTCAGAAGAACGATGAAAGCTCCACGACCAGACCATCCAGCTTAGAAAACAAAACTCCATCAATATTATCCACCTGAGCTACAAATCTCCATCACACAATGTCATTACCCGTACTATGTACACTGACTAATATTTAAGCAGAATAATCTTCTACTCGGTAAAAATACATAATTGAATAGTGGTTGAAATGATTTTTTTCCGGTTAGCATTTTGTTTAGCAAGGTTGTTTCCTACTTGATGGGTTTACTATATTCGTTCCCAACCCTTCATTATCTGGGCTTGTTAGCGACAGCAACTTTAGAATGAATTCAAACGAAGTGTGAATGGACGATGAATAAATGAAGCATAAAAATTGTTGAATTCATATTGTTTTGTATAGAATAAATTAAATCATTAAGAATTTTCACTCTCTTTGCTTTACAACCTTCTCAAAGAAGCTGGTCTAATTAAATATTATGCAAAAAATGAATAACTATTCAACATATACTATTAGCCTTACATAAATAATACCGAGAAGTATCATAGTGGAAAATAAAATGATTAACTCATCATAAGATTATATCTTGTATTGATTTTTTTTAAAAGTTAAACGTTGAAATAAAGACAATATCTATAGTAATAAGAAGAAATTCTAAGAAGGTGAAAATATAGAAGATAATAAATGGTAAATTATTCTTTCAAGATTTCTTTCAACAATCTGATATAAACTGCTTCAATGAAGTAATTAAAAACTAAAGACTATCGAATATGAATATAGACGTTACAAAATAACTATTTATACTAATATCAGAAAAATTTTTGTGTGGATATTATAGTAATTTTAATAGTTGAAATCATGAGTCAATTGAAGCTAGACCATCATGGAAAACCTGGAAGCATTGGACGGCCATTTCGTCTTATTGTGGGACTTCTTAACAATGTGCATCCACGACCCCGCCTCTTGAGATTGGAACCCAGGACCTATCAATCTCGTGCACGAGCGCTTAATCACTAAACCATTGAGCTGGCCGGCATTCAACGGTTTTGATATCTCACTTCAACTAATCCATGAAATCGAGTGACACATCCATTTACACTAAACAAATATTCAATCTTTTTTAAAACTTCCTAAAACGCAATTTCAAAGTTATTTCTCCTTCTTTTTTTAATTTCAGTAGATTTTTCACTGATTTTAATTTTCTTAAATAAAAGTAATATATATGTATTTGTAAATCTCAATGAGTAGAAAAAATTATATTTTCTAACGTTTCGTGACTCAGTGTAAGTCACTTCGTCAGAGAATCAATAAATAATCAAATCAAAATTAATCCAAGTTGTCTTGTCAATGTTTTCTATACATTCGACTTTTAAGTATTATATGAAACTTTTCGGTTAAATAATGAACTGAAGATCGTATAAAATAAATTTTTTTTAAAAAAAAACAACAATCTAATTTGGTAATTTAAACAAACAATGTTGTCAAGTTCACTTGATATTGTTTTATTTGAATCTTCCCATTGATGTTTTAGGACTGAAGTTGATCAGTCTCTTATTGGCATATGTGCATACTGTGCGTATGCCTCGATATTGCCTTAATTTACAATCATTATAAGCAGAGATGGCTAGCAGTGGAATCCAGGACGCGAACGGTACTGAGTTCGAGTCCCACAGTGAACATCAACTCTGAGATGTAGGTACATCCAGCTGACGAGTCCCAAACAGGACGAAACGCGCGTCCTGGATTCCACTGCTAGCCACTATCCATCTCTGCTTATAATGTTGTCAAGGCTTAAAAAGCATATAATGTGAATATGAAATCTTAAATTTAGAGGATCATTTTACATGTATCATTTCATAAACTACAATTAAGAAATCTATATCTTCGTGTACAAATGTTTATTCAAATCATCAATGGTTTCTTAGATTAGTGCCATCAATCGATTTTTTGTATTACTTACCCTCTTTTAATCAGTATAACAGATATTTCAAAATAAAAATATTAGTATTATTATTGTTTTTCATGTAGCTATTCATATGTTTTCACTGTTTTTAACGTCTATCTTACTGCTCCTCGTACTATTACTTGTAGTAGTAGTAGTAGTAATGGTGGTATAGCTACTATAATTCGGTTTAAGACACATTTATCGAACAACTTTCGACATATATATATATGTAATAGTTAATTTGTAATCTCGATAAGAAACGTGTGAATAAAGTGTTTTACATCTATACTACGGAATTACAAACGTACAGAAATGTAAAACACAGTAGTTAAAGTAGCAGTAATAATAGTAATACAATTTTTATATCAAATAAAATACCATGTAAAGTGTGAGATATTTTTATATAAACTCTTATGAATTGACTTTTATCTGTGAGATATTCATTAATAGATGGTTTATACTTAGTGTCGTTGAACATGTTTAAACGTAAATAATAGACTGGATGTTTGTGTGTGTATGTGTATGTGTGGCGTTTTAACTTTGATATCCATTGTTGGAGTAATAAAACAAATCAGCAGATAAATCCTTTTTGATTAGAATCTTCAATAGAATCCTATTCACTAATTAGACATCATGAGTAATATATTACGAAACCAGTCACAGTAATATGGCTTTATTCATTGTGTTTTTCTTTCTTTCGTTTTTTAGACCTCAAATTTTAATATTAGTTTGAAGTTTTGATTTATTTTCCCTTTTCCAAGTTTCTATGTATGTATGATCTTATTTTCTAATTGAAGAGAGGGTTTGAATATGAACAAAATACTTTCAAGTCGTGTTAAAGTTATGAGGTTAGTTGTTACTTCTTATTTAACCGTATTATGGAAAACTGCTATTCTGAAGCATGCTAACTTGGGTTGGTATATATTTACCTCTGGTTCTTCTATAATTCCATTAGTGAGTTGTTGGGGATGCTATATCTCCAGAAATCACTTGGTAAACTTCTCAATTGCGTAATTTGACTATAGAATTTTGAATTTCTCATTTTCGCGTCAAAAGCGCCCATTTTTACCTTCAGTTCGTGTTTCCCACCTGGAAGGACATTTTTGTATTGCATTTATACGTATGAGTTGTGTGTTTGTTGTTTGTTCTTCCAGGTTGCTTGTGGGACTTTATATTTTTCGGCTGAATCTGGTTCTTCCTTTAGTTAACAGAGGAAGAACCTAGTTTGTCTTGTTGTTGTGTTGTTGACTTTCGTCCAGTTCGCCAGTTCTAGGTTGATATCTGAATCCTTCAAGGATATATATTCGCTTATTTGCATTTTTGTCAATTGAAATTAAATATTTTTGTTTCAATTCCATTAGAATTTATGGTTGCCTACTACTAACTACATTTAAAGTTGAAAGGACAACTCATCTCTACTGTCTTGTTACCTCTACCTAATGGATGTTTAGTTGGTTTTTTACGTCTGCACTTTGATCTGACTCTTCGATTTGACAATCGATTTGTATTAACAAATCAGATATATATATATATATATAATTCATTCCTCGTTATTGATTTATTTTATTAAAAATATGGGGGCTACAAGTAAAATTACATGGTTAATGAGCATAATAATTCATAATTAACACGTGTGTGCTAACTTATATATCATTGATTGTGTTCGTTGAGATATATAAAACATGCATCCCTACCTACTTCTTACTTCGATGCACCATGTCTATTAGTGTTGAAGTAGGTCATGAGGAATCTAAGTTGTGGCATTAGTTCATGGAGACACTAACTTTTAGTCAAAAATATGTTCGCAGATTCTAACTAATTGGTTAGGGTCCGCTCGATTATCTCAATTAATAGTTGAAGATTTTGGATGATATGATTCAGAATCGATCACAATAACGCAGATCCACTCTTTCTTGATCATTCCCTAAATCTTAAGTTTTAAATTTATATTGTACTGTGTTGTTCAGAGAAGTTGTCGTTTCCTAACAAACCATACTGTGTGTGTGTGATGTTTCCTGCTATCCCTAATTCTGTCTCTTGTTCTGCTGTTCTGGGATTTATCTTAATGGTTTTATTTCTTTGTATTGATGTCATGTTCCGACTTGAATCGATACAAGTATACGCTAGCTTGTAAGTCGCTTATAACTCACTGTTTGAATTCAATTACAAATTAAACTTATCTAAAGGAACAATAAGAACATGACACTATAATACACTTTAGTTTGGTACCCCCCCCCTCAGTAATACATACAATTGAGGTATTCAGTTTTTTTTTTATAAAAAAAAACTTGATAAGTTGGAATTCTAATACTTCACATTTTTACTTATCAAATAGATTTATGATAAAAAGTTCCTTGTAAGAAATAGTATAACAAAAGTTTATTGTTGTTATCACTATCGGACGAAAATATCATTGAACAATTAAAAGAACAATATAACTTATTGATTTTATTGTTAATATCTATTCATTATTTATCATTTAATCAAATTTTATTTTTCATTATTGTTTCTTTTTTTTTTATCTTTTCTAGTTATTCGCATTACTATTTGCTATACTTTTATGTTGTTCAGTAAAACAACGAAATGAGGTCGAATATACTGAAGTACATGTGAATGTTTAAAAGTGACAGAGCTAAAAAAAACACACACTAAATAATTCTTGTACAAGGGATGATTAAACAAACTAGCAAACAAAAATCAGACCAATATTCATTCATCCATCTATCTATCTATCTGTTAGCCTCTTTTTTTTTTCTTCTTCTTATTATTATCATCATCATATCTTATTAGCATTTTCATTGTTGTATTCCCTTCTCTTCCTCTTCCTTTCTCTCTCTCTCTCTCGTTTCTTTAAAGCATATTTCAATAGAATTACTGTGATTAATAGTTCATTTCAAATGAAATGAATCTTCAAACAATACAGCTGAACAAATTATTGGAATGAAACTCCATTTGGTTTCTCTTGTTTAAATAATGAACATGGTATTGACGATGATGATGATTATTATTATTATAATAACAATATATATAGTGAATTAAATTTTGATCTACATCAGTACTGAATATTTCCTCAAATTAATTCTAAACACTTCTGTTGTCCTCTTCTTTGTATTCTTAGTTGTTTTTTTTTGTTGTGTGGATTCATTCTGTTCAATGAATATCAAGATCATCTGTATATGTATTCATACACTTACACAAACACACACACATACACTTTCATTCTGTGAATTACATATTTCATGCTGTTGAAGAAAATATCAATAAATTAGTTTTAGTGTTGATACATTCCGATTAACACTAACGTCATATTTGTTCATTATTTTAATGTTTCGTTACTATATTCTATACTTTTTCTTCTTTTGAATACTCTTTTCTTTTTTTCCTCTAATAAAAATAAATTTGGAATTCTTTATTTCCTAAGAAATTAACTTTGTAAATTATTTGAACATAGTACCATCTTCTTTTTTTTTCTCTTTCCAATATGAATGTCCTACTAAAATGGGAATGGTTGTGAATGATGAACAATGTGAAAACATACAATTGTAAGCGCCCATTACTATTAATTTTACTTGTAGTAGTAGTAATAGTCTTAGTAGTACAAACAATATTGCGATATTTTTATTCTGCAAATTCAACATTGAAATACAACTCAATGCATAATAATGATGAGTATTATCATTACTATGATGATTGTTATTTGTTTTATTCTTCCTCTATGTTATGATATTTTGATTTACTTTTTTGTATTTATGTATAGTATCGGTTATTTATGATTGTTTCCTTCTTTCCATCTATTCATCTTTCTTTAATGTATCATTAATAAACTGGATATATGGACGCGCTTGTATGTATGTATGTAAGCAGGTAGGATAGGTGTATAAGATACAATGAAAGTGAACATTTTTCTTTTCTATTTTTTATTCCTTTAAACATTAAATAGAAATGCATTTCTCTTCTATGTTAATGTATCATTATTAGTTGTTTTTTATTTATTTAATGTACAATAATAATGATTATTATCATTTTTTAGTTTTGTGAATTAAAGAAAAAAAGGGGGTTTCTTCTCTCTCTCTCTCTCTCTCTCTGTCTCTATTTCCTCTAAATTGTTACTTATCATACTTTTTATGAAGTAATTGAATTGCTCATCTTTCTTTTCTTCCTTAACTAAAAGTTGAGGTTCTTTTTACTTACTTACTTACTTATTAGTTATGTTCCATTGTCTTTTCAATCCATGTGAAACGAATGAATCAACATAAAAATCTTAATCTTTTCATTGATAATTGTTTCAAATATTGTGCAATAAAATCTTAATTTGAATATTTAGAAAGAATATTGCTCACTTATGTATAAGTAAATATTAACTTTTGAAACAGGGTTAATCAAAAGACATTGTTTATTTCAATCAATATTTCTTATTGTATATGAGATGACTACTAAATTATCTATTTAAGTAGTATATCTATATATATATATATTCTGTCATTCTGTACACATCATTGTTTAGTGGTTATTTTATTGTTCTCAAATTTTAGTATTATCACTACTGTTATAATGAATATTATGATTTATCATTATCATATTGAATTGTGCTTGTTTTTTTTACAGAATGAAGACTTGTGTACATACACACGTTTCTTACTATTTTCCTTTTTAGTACTGATACTTACTTACGCCTGTTACTCCTCGTGAAGAGCCATAGGCTGCTCACCAGCATTCTCCATCCAACCCTGCCCTGGGCAATCCTTTGCAGCTCCTTCCAGTTCCTATTCATCATTTTCATATCTGCTTCTATTATCCGACGTAATATCTTCTTAGGCCTTCCTCTTTTCCGTTTCCCTTCAGGATTCCAAGTTAGGGCTTGTCTCGTGATGCAGTTTGATGATTTGCGTAATGTATGTCCTATCCATTTCCATCATCTTTTCCTAATTTCTTCTTCAGCTGGAAGTTGATTTGTTCTCTCCCACAAAAGGCTGTTGATGATGGTATCCGGCCAATGGATGTTGAGTATCTTACGTAGACAACTATTTATAAATACTTGTACCTTCTTGATGGTTGATGTTGTAGTTCTCCACGTTTCAGCTCCGTATAGTAGAACAGACTGTCTTGACATTCGTATTGAAGATTCTCACTTTGATATTGGTTGACAGATGTTTTGAGTTCCATATGTTCTTCAATTGTAGGAATGCGACCCTTGCTTTACCAATCCTCGTCTTCACGTCTGCATCTGAACCACCTTGTTCATTGATGATGCTTCCCAGTTATGTAAACGACTCTATATCTTCCAGAGTTTCGCCATCAAGTTTGATTAGATTGGTGTTCTCTGTGTTGTATTTGAGGACCTTGGTTTTCCGTTGTGTATGTTGAGGCCTACTGATGCAGAGACAGTTGCTACATTGGCTGTCTTTATGTGCTTTTGTTCTTGTGTATGCGATAGGAGGGCTAGGTCATCTGCGAAGTCCAAATCGTCTCATTGGTTCTGAGCTGTCGATCGTATGCCGCGTTTTCCCTAAGTTGTAGAGGTCTTCATAATCCAGTCGACCACCAGAAGAAAGAGGAAGGGAGAAAGTGAACAGTCTTGTCTGACTCCGGTCCTTACTTGGAATACGTCTGTCAGCTGTCCTTCATGCACTACTTTGTACTGTAGTCCGTCATATGATTTCCAGATAATATTGACAATCTTCTCAGGAACTCGGTAGTGTCGAAGAAGCTTCCATAACGTTCTCTTATCTACACTATCAAATCCATTCGTCAGGTTCTAGAAAACAGGCATACTTATCGGCGTCCGACAACCGTGATCTTTCTTGACTTAAAGACAGAATTTGACTCCGTAGACCGCGAGATTCTGTGGCAGTGTCTGTCATTAGAAGGCGTACCTCAGAAGTACATAAACCTTGTGAAGGCTGTTTACTCAAACACTACCATTCGAGTCAGAGCTTATGGCGAACTGTCATCTGATTTCGCAACCCCAAGTGATGTCCGTCAAGACTGTCCACTTTCTTCATTTTTGTTAAACTTCATCATAGTCCTACTGATGGAGATAACATTCTCGTCGACTGAGTTCTCGGGTATCTATCTCCTTCCAGGAGGTCCACTTGTCGACTTACAATACGCAGATGACATTGCTCTGTTTTGTGAAGACCTTGATAAAATGCAGAGTCTTCTGGTAACACTAAGCAACAATGCCAAAATGTTTGGAATGCGCTACTCTCCCTCTAAATGCAAGTTGTTGCTTCAGGACTGGTATGCGTCAACACCTGAATTAAGGATAGGGAGTGAAGTAGTCGAACGCGTTGACAACTTCACTTATCTTGGAAGTCTGATCAGCCCTAATGGGTTGGTGTCTGACGAAATCTCAGCATGGATTCGAAAAGCTCGTTTGGCTTTTGCCAACTTACGTCACCTTTGGCGAAGGCGAGATATCCGTCTATCAATAAAAGGACAAGTATACTGCGCGGCAGTTCGTTCTGTTTTAATTTACGGCAGCAAAACATGGCCATTAAGAGTTGAAGATACTCGTAAGCTACTAGTATTTGACCACAGATGTCTTAGAAATATTGCTCGCATCTGCTGGGATCACCGGGTAAGTAATAGTGAGGTTAGACACCGGGTATTAGGGAATGATGGTAAATCAGTTGATGAGGTTGTGAATCTTCATCGACTGAGATGGTTGGGCCACGTGTTACGTATGCCTGAACACCGATTTCCACGACGCGTAATGCTAACCGGTGTCGGAGATGGTTGGAAGAAAGTTAGAGGCGGTCAAACCAAAACGTGGTATCAGTGTTTGAAGACACTAACTTCTGGTCTGAGCCATGTTGGTAGATGCAGACTACTTGGTCGAGGTCCGCGTGACTATCGTAACCAATGGTTGGAGACTGTGTGACATGGCTCAGAATCGATCACAATGGCGTAGATGTATACACTCTCTGTCTTCCCTTAAACTATGAGATTAAAATCGCTTCATATCTTTCTTTCTACGAACCAATTCTTTCTTCCTGTACTATGTCCTTATATACAATCTTTCTTTTATATATTACCACCTCTGAATTAACTACTTTTATGAACCCGGTGTTCATCTTGTTGTGTTCATGAGGTATGGCAACTTGGACCGATGCATATATGTGCCTGATCCTACTTTGTAGCTGACTGACATGATTTAGTATTATGGTGAACTAGTGTGCTCATTCGTATCATCCAACATACTTCTCGTGTCTAAATCGTATTATGTTGTTATGTCGAATAATATCAGTTCTTTATCATTTGTCCATTACAATCTAAACAGTTGCTATTATCATGATTGTCTGGTACTTAGTGTAGATCTAATTGTATCGATCAAGTTAAAATGCAGCCTTTAGTCTAAGCGACTTGAAGTCGCGTGGATTGCGCCTTGATATCGGGTGATGGGTTTTAGTCAAAAAGAAATCCTAAACGTAGGGTTTGCGTCAACGAACTGTGGTCAGATGTAACTTCGGTGTCGAAATGACTGATGACACCTGTAGGAACTTAACCCACGTCACCCAACCTTACATTGAGGAATGATACCGTAAAACATGACAATAGACGAGAGAAATGTATAACTATTGCGACAAGTCACAAAGCGTTTATCTAATGCATATACATA